TTCCCCATCCATACTCCCCTTGCTGACTCCAGCACAGACATAGAGAGCGCCCCCGTGTGGCTATGTCCCGAAGGGTATCCTCAGGTAACAATGCCACTGGCATTGGCAAAGAGACTACCAGTGTTCTCAAGGGAGCGGGCAACTTAAGATGCAGGAACCTGAGTGTATATGTTTCATAAGCTTCTTTTTATTTTTATTTTTTTGCTTTGAACCCAAAACACGTGGCCTGGAAACATTTTTGCCTTAAATTGTCCCTAATGGTAAAAAATAAAAAATAAATAAATTAAAGGCCCCATTCCTGTAAGAGCCGGCGGGACACTTGGCCATGTCCGGGGACAGGCTGGGGTGACATGACGGGTTGCGAGGAGGCAGCTGGAGAAATCCTGCCCCGGAAGTGTCCACACTGTGTGTCTCGGGCGAGAGACGTGGAGGGCTGGGGTCTGGCCCCCCAGAGCGTTGGTTTTATTCATCTGTGTCTTGGCCTCAAGCCTTCGCTTCGCGCTGAGCGGAAAAGGAGCCTCTGGGGTGTGCGTGACGGTCTCTGTGACGCCACTGGTCGCCTGGAGCCCCTGCCCTGCCCCCCCTCCCCCTCCAAAGGTCTCATAGGACCCCGCTTCTCTCAGACCCCATGGTCAGAAAACGCTGAGCTGCTTCTGGGGACATGGCGAGTCTCTCAATGGGTGGGTTTCCCTTTTTGCTTTGACTGACAGGAAGCTCCGAGCCCAGGTTTCAGCCCGCCTGGTAGGAGAATCGTTGAGGCCCACCCCGCACCAGTCCTCCCGGTTCTCTGCTTGTTTGCTGCAGCCTCATCCTCCCTCTGATCTATTTTTGTCCTATTGTGACTTACCCTGTGTGGTAAGCGCCTCTAATCCTTGTTGGAACAAAGCAGGGCATCAAATCAAAACAAACTCCTGCGGAGCCCTGTAGCCTGGGGGTGCTTCTGACGCTGCCAAAGTCATTTGGGGGCTGGAGTCCTGCCGGGAGGGAAAGCTGCTCTCCTGGCCCCTCCTGGCCCCTCCTGGGAGTCTCATCTCGAACAACAAACAACAAGCAGCTCAGTGAGTTGGAGCAACAAGTTTTAGAGGCAGCGCCACCAGCACCCATCTGCCTGCAAATGCCTTCCCTCTCCCCAAAATGTTCCCTCCAGCCTCCCATCTGGCTGCCGGCAGGCGGCCACGGGGCCCTGAGGAGGCTGCAGAGGGGGAAGCAGACAGACCGAGGCCCTGTTCTCATCCCTCACGCTCCGCGCCTGCACCTTCTGTGGGAGCCAGGCCCTCTGGGAGGCTGTGTGTGAGGCGCAGGGAGCCAGGGAGGGGGCGGAGGAGAGCAGCACACACCTGAAAAGGTCACTCCCAACCCCTCCCCCTAGCCACCCCCACAACTACCACACGCCCAGCCCCGTGAGCAGCTGCGCCCCATACGGTCCGCCGGCTCCACGCCAGCCCAGCCCCTTTCGCAATCTCCGCTCCGCTCCCTCCTGGGACTTTGGCCAGCGCCTTCTGCTCCCAGGCTCCATAAAACGGGATGGGGCCGGCCTGGCGAGACTCATGGCTGAGCATCGACCCATGAACCAGGAGGCCACGGTTCGATTTCCGGTCAGGGGCACGTGCTCAATCCCAGGGTGGAGTGTGCAGGAGGCGGCCCATCCAAGATTCTCTCTCATCATTGATGTTTCTCTTGCTCTCTCTCTCACCCTCTCCCTTCCTCTCTGAAATCAATGAAAAAATATATATATATTGAAAAAACAACAAAAACGGAGACAGGGGAGGCGGTTTGAAAGGCTGAGACGCCCCTGCCTTCCTTTTTGTCCCCGTTCTCCTGGGGACGTGGTGACCGTGGTGACCAGGAGGGGGTGGCTGGGTGTGTGAGAGAAGGCAGTCGAAGGTGAGCACCTGGGGGACCAGGTTGGGCCCCGGCGGGAACCCAGGCCCGAGGCTGCAGGGGCCTCCCGAGAGCAAGGGGCCTGCGGGAGCCCTGGCCCTGCCTGGCGGAGAGTCAGCCGGAGACCCTGGAAGGGCCCCACCCACCCTGCTCAGCACCTCTGGCCTTGGCATTGCCTGCTGGGCCCTCAGGACGGGAATCAGCGGCAGCTGCTGAGAGGGGCCTGGAGCTCTCAGCCCCTCTTCTACAGCATCTAGGAGCGCCCCTTTCCCTGGCACGCCCCCGCCAGGCGGGCCATCAGCCGGGCATCTCTGCACTGCTCTGCCAGCCAGGCCATTGCCCCCTCCGGCCATCCAGGGACCCAAAGTGTCAATCACCAGTGGGGATAGTGGGTGTGAGGAAGGGCCTGGGAGCCCGGTCCCGGGTCTCTGTCAGTCCCTGCGCCTCCGCGGACTAGCCCAGCGGTGCTGGGCCGGGTCACTCCTCACCGGTGCCAGGAGAGGGACGTGAGGAGTGTGGTCTCAGAGCCGCTGTGAGAACCGAGTGAGGCCGGGACAGGAAACGGGCGCCCGGTGCACGGCGGTCCGCACAGCTGACAGCCCTGATCACCCTCCCAGTCCGCACCGGTGGGAGGGTTGGGGGAGGAGAGAGATGCCCCAGGACGGCTGGGCCAGAGCGGCGGTGGGTAGAAGGCATCTTGGGGTCATGACTGCAGCTCCGCCGGGGGCAGGAGGCTTTGGGGTCCCCTCACATCTTCGGAAACATGAGTTACGACCTGAATTTCAATGGCTGCTTCAGCGGTTGGCAACCTCAGCTCGCAAGCCACACCCCTTGAGTTTTTAAGCAAAGGCCAGCTTAGGAGTGCCCTAATTAAGTTAAAAACAACGTACCTACGTATATAGTTTTAAGTTTAAAAGATGTGGCTCTCACAAGAAATTTCAAGTTGCTATTTGGCTCTGTGGACTAAAGAGTTTGCCGACCGCGGGGCTGCTACATCGTTACCTAGAAATAGTTCTGGAGGCTCCTGCTCTGAGTTGTAGGAGGGAGAGGGGCCCCACAGGACACCTTTAAGGTGAGACACGCTGTGTGAGGCCCCAGGTGTCTCCAGTGAACCCCACAGACAGACAGAGAGAAAGGACCCCCCTCCCCCACAACCTACTCCCTCCCAGAAAAGCTGTGGCTCAGCCTGTTGTGTACACGGGTCCAATCTACAGCCTCATTGCAAATAAAACTCCCGGTAAAAATAAGGTGACCAGGCGTCCCAATTTTTTTTAAAAATATATATTTTATTGATTTTTCACAGAGAGGAAGGGAGAGGGATAGATTTTTAACAATTTGTCCTGCGGCGTTTTAAAAATGTCCCAATTTTTGGAAAGAAATTGGGACTTTTTTAAAACGCCACGGGACGCAGGACAAATTGTTAAAAATCGGGACTGTCCCGCCAAAAGCGGGACGCCTGGTCACCTTAGGTAAACAGCTGAAAACAGCTGAGCTAGTGCCGCCTTTGAAAGGCAGAGAAGCAGAAGCTGCCCAGAGAGGGATGATTACTGGCCCAAGGCCACACAGCAAACCTGGGTGAGAGCTGGCTTGGCCCAGCTTGTGCTGCCTGGCGGGGCCTGCTGAGCCCCCACCTGGATTCCTGTTGCTGACGGGGTGGGTCAGGGGGTCTCTCCCAGGCCCCCGGGACGTCCCGAGTGGCTGGCATTTCTCCATCAAGTCCGTAAGCAGGCGACGGGCTTCTCTCAGGCCCTCGGGAATCCCGTGCCAGGGGCTGCCGGTAGAATGGGGGTTTGCACACTCAGGGGAGCACAGTCCCCTGCTCAGGTGTCCTCCCCTCACCTGCCTGGCCCCTCAGCCCTGCATTCCCCTCGGTGAGGGCCTGGAGCTGGCTGCAGCGCCCAGGGGCAGTGCTGGGCTGGGGGTGTGCCCCAGTGCCCCCCCACCCACCCACCCCCACCCAGGGCCACCACACCGGCCGCTCGGCCTCCTGTCTCAGCCTCGTCCCTCATTAGCTCGAACGAGCCAAACGCGGGGACAGAGGAGCATTTGAATTGTGCTTCTCTCTGCTTCCCAGGACGAGGATGAGTGCCGCCCAGCTTTCTCTGTCGACGCCGGGGAGAGGGACGGGGTTTCGGGGACTCAGCCACAGGGGCCCCCACATGGAGGGGCATCAGCTGGCAGAGCCAGCCCTGCCCAGGCTGATTCCTCCTCTCAGAGATGCCACCGCAGCGGCAAAGGCGGGTGCCAGTGCCATGAAGGGAAGGTGGTGAGGCAGGTGGCTGGGGGAGTGGCCGGGTCCCCACCCAGGGCAGACACACCCCTGACCTCACTTTCCCGAGCAATGGAGCTTCCCGGCTCCTGAGTGACGGAGTGATTGTGTTTAATATGTTTTTATGGATTTCAGGGAAGAAGGGAGAGGGCAGAGATAGAAACATCAATGGTGAGAGAGAAGCATGGATCGGCTGCCTCTTGCATGCCCCCTCCTGGGGATGGAGCCTGCAACCCGGGCATGGGCCTGACGGGGAATCGAACCATGAGCCCCTGGTTCATAGGTCAATGCTCAGCCACTGAGCCACCCCTGCCGGGCACAGAAGCGGTTTGAACCAGCCACGTCCTGACTCCGTTGCTTGGTGACTGGAGAACGTGGCCACATGGGCTCCCGGCGCACAGAACGGGGACACCAGAGCCAGCCTCACTGGGCCGAGGCTGAAGGGGAGAACACGCCGCCTGTAGGCGGATTTTCCAGGTCAGAGGGTCAAAGGCACCTGCCGTGTCCCGGTGGTGACACAGCCCGTGTGTGGGCCCCTGGGGCTTGGCAGAACACAGCCCCCCTCAGGTCCATCACAACGGTGCCCACGCCGGGAGGGACCAGCCTAGCCCCGAGGGACCAGCAGGCCCCACACATAACGAGGACGCTGCTGAGCACAAAGCAGCCGAGCACCCAAGGGACCCCGAGTCCCAGAGCCCCCCCCCCCCCGAGTCCCACCCAGGCCCCGAAGGCACGGCGAGAGAAGCCACTTCTGGCCCTGAGGACCCCGACCTGACCCCATGACCCTCACCCCCTACCCACCCACAACCCCAAGCAAACCCTCCCGTAAACAGAGGTGCACACCAGACAGGCTAAAGGGCTTTTTTATTGTTGCCTCGCGGTTTTAACAACTTCGTGAAAAAAATATACAGCTCAGAATCCGGGACGGACCACCGTCGGGAGGGGGCTCAGGGGCAGGCAGCGGGGAACCGAGCACCCCCGGGGCACTGCGGCCTGGAGCAGGTTAGTGTCTGAGTCAGGATCTGGCAGCAAACAGGAGGCGGGAGCGGCCCCCCTCCCCCCTGGCTGGATCCTGCGGTAGCCGACACCCCTCCCCCCCGCTCCCCCGCCCCCTCCCCCCATTGGCTGCCAGGGGACAGAGGCAGTGGGTCAGCCTGTTCCCAGGACAGAAAAGCCACCGTCCGCTCACCCTGGGACTCACACCAGGCGCCTACGCAATCCCCTTGAGCAGGGTTAGAGGGCACGGGCTGACATCTGTACTTCAGAGGAACAACAGGAACGGTTTGATGTGAGTGTGTTCCGTACGGCAAAGGGCACACTTAATACCCCCCAAAAAAACAAAACAAAACAAAAAACAGCCCCACCATCCTTTCGTTTTTGTTGCTACATCTGGCCGCCCTGGTACCTCTGCCCTCAGGGCCGCTGCCTCCGCAGCTGGCGAGAGGCCTGGGAAAGGGAGAAGCTGTGTGTGTGTGGAGCGGGCAGTGAAGAGGGAATAACTAAGTCCCAAAACAAAAACTTTTAAGCCCCCCCCCCCCCCCGCCCCGGATGATATATTACTTAAAAAAAAAAAAAGCCATTTTCCAGAAATATCCTACTACACTGCCCACCTGCCGTTCATACTATGGGGGGAGGGGGGCTGGCACGCAGACACGCACCCCGTACCATTCTCAGCGGAGGTCGGACGCACGGAGTCTAAACTGAAAGGGAGTTCCCTCTGACGGCAGATCCAGGGCTGCTCCGGAAGCTGCCCTCGGAGATGCCACGTAGCAGACAGAGCGGCAAAACCCGCAGGGGCTGCGGGGCCACGGCGGTCCCTGCCCGGTGTCCTCTGGCAGGCCTGTCTCCCGAAGGCTAGAAGCCCAGGGCTCCCTCCCGCTCCCGCCCCGTCCTCCTCCCGGGAAGGGGCCGCGGGAGTGATCAGGGCTGTCAGTGCGGCTCTCCTCCAAGGCCCCTAGGCTCCGTGCGCTGGGACAGCGGGGACGGGAGGGGGGGGGCCGGCCGTGCCCACCCCAGGCCTCCGGTGACACACGTTTAAGGGGGAGAGGAGGTCACTGTCAGGCCACAGCAGGAACTCCAAGGGAGCCTGGGGGAGGCAGGAGAGCCCTGTCCTTAGCAATGGCCAAAGGTCGCCCCTGAGCCAGCCTGCACCACGGCAGGCGGCAGGCGGGCACCCAGGTGGGCGTCTGGCAGCCGTCGGAGGCCAACGTGGGGAAAAGGAACCAGCTTCCCGCTGTGAGGACACAGCCCCGTCCCACGGAGCACAGGGAGGCCGGGCTGTGGACAGCGTCAGGCCCCAGGACCAGCGCCCCAGTCCGCCCCGGGCCCCAGGCTCGGCCAGCGCCCCCCACCCACCCGTGAGGCCCAGGGTCCGTGGCCGAAGCCAGGCTCTTGGCTGCCCCCCTCAAAGGGAAGGGGGTGGGCTGGAGGCAGGGAGATGGGGCCAAGGGCGTGAAGCCACCTTGGCCGGCCTCACACCCGGATCTCATCCTCCTCCTCCTCATCCATGAAGGAGAACTCCTTGTCGGGCTGCCTGGGGAGGGGGCCCCGGGCCTTCTCCGGCCCCTGGAAGGCGGGGCTGCGCTCCTCCAGGACGCTGGACGTGCAGCTGGACAGGGAGCTGCTGTCCCGCGTGGTGTGGCTGCCCAGGCTGCGGGCGGAGCCGGGACTCGGGGCGGCGGCCGCCCAGCCCTCGTCCTGCGGCGCCGGCGGGGGCTGCAGGGGGGAGTCCCGGCCGGCCTTGCCTTCCTGCCTGGATGGGAGAGGGGCCCCCGGCCCGGAGAGGGGAACCTTGGGGAGGCCGCCCGGCTCCTCCTCGTCGCCGTGGTAACCGCCATCCTCCTCCTCCTCCTCCGGGTCCCACTCCTCCTTGTTCATGATGCTCAGGACGTCGCCCAGCATGGAGGGCCCCAGGTCGATGTGGAAGGACATGATGGACTCGGCGTGCTTCAGCCCGAAGCCGGCCTTGGGCACGACGGGCAGGTCCGTCAGGTCCCCGAAGGCCCGCTCGTCCAGGAGGGGGTCGAGGGCGTGGGGGGAGGCGGCCCCGTTCCGCGGCCGGGGCACCCCCTCCTCCCCGCCACGGGCCGCCTCGGGGTCCCCCTCCCGGCCCCCGCTGCCAGCCTTCACGGGGCTGGACGACAGGCTCTTGGGCAGCTTGCCGGCGCCCCGCTCGGCGGCCTCCTTCTCGTTCAGCTGGGGCAGGGACATGGCGTTCTTGACGAACAGGGCGGAGTCCCGCAGCGAGCCCAGCATGTCCCTCTGCTCCCGGTCCCCCCGGGTCACCGACTGCGACCGCTTGCTGCCCCGGAACTTGCGGGACAGGAGGCCGCGCTTGGAGGAGGAGGAGGAGGAGGAGGAGGAGGAGGGCGCGGCGGACGCCTGCTCGTCGGGGGGCTCGCCCTCCAGCTCCCCGGCCTTGCTGTGCAGGAAGGAGGTGTCCCCGAAGGCGTCGCCCGCCCGGCCCACGTGCATGGTGTGGCGGAAGTCGCCCAGCGGCGCGCTGATCATCTCGGCCGTGAGGTCCACACGGGAGCGGCGCTTGGAGTGCACGGAGCTGGACACCAGCTGCTTGAGGATGGGCATGGTGCCCAGGGGCGGAGGCAGGGCCTCCGAGGCTGCAGGTGGGGCTGGCTGACGTCTGTCTGTCAGGTGCGAGGCGTCCGTCAGAGGCGAGGTCCGGCGGGCGGAGGGGCCAGGGAGGACGGCCTCATGGAGCTGCGGGAGGAGAACAGCAGGAGAGGGTTAACCGGGGCTGGCCTCCTGCACAAAAGCCCATCTGCCAGCCTCTGGCGGTTATGCAAACCCCAGCTCCCACCCGAGCCAAACCATAGGACGGGAGCCAGCAATCAAAGCCGTAACCCCGCCCTCCCTCTCCATCCACAGGTCCTCAGGGGTGGGACGGCATTTTGCAAAGCTGTTTGGAGTTCAAGGGGCCACAGACACACATCCCCTGAAACCTGAGAGAGGGAGGGGGGGGGAGAGAGAGAGGGAGAGGGAGAGGGAGAGAGAGAGAGAGAGAAGAAAGAGAGAGAGAGAGAGAGAGAGAGAGAGAGAGAGAGAGAGAGAAGAAAGAGAAAGAGAGAGAGAAAGAGAGAGAGAGAGAGAGAGAGAGAGAGAGAGAGAGAGAGAGAGAGAAAGAGGAAGAGAGAGAAAAAGAGAGAGAGAGTAAGAGAGAGAGAGAGAGAGAGAGAGAGAGAGAGAGTGAGCTTTCTTCCAAAGGACAATGCCGGCTCCCGCCCTCCACACCTCCTCCGCCAGCCAGGATGCTGCCAGGCCAACAGGACCGCATTCACTGGTGAGGAGGTGGAGGTGCGCCCCGATGCCACAGGCAGAGCAGGAAAGAGCCAGACGGAGCCCCGGACGCGGCTCCTCTGGGCAGAGACACGCGGGAAGTTCCTCCTGCCGTCTGACCTCGATCCCTGTGAAGTCAGTGGACGCCTCACCCTGAGTCACCGACCTCCCTCCGAGGAACAGAGGACGGGACAGGCCCCAGGGCGCTGCTGCCTGGCACCTCGGCCTCCGTGGGCGGCCGGCTCACTTTCTGAATCAGAATTGGGGTGGGGCTGCGGGATCCACAGAACCAGCTCCCCAGCCTGGCAGCCCCGGTTGGGTGTCCCTCAAAGGAGGATCCCGCCTGCGACGTCTCCTCTTTGTCAAGGACCCAGCCTCTGCCCCCGGGGGGAGGATCAAGACTGGGAGACTCTCTCCCAAGTTCTTTAGTCACTAGGGGTGCAAGGAGGGCGGGACCCCAGATGACCCAGATCCCTGGGATCTGCGGAACAGCAGAGCAGAGGGCCACGCGAAAGCATGAGGCACCACAGCCCAGGAAGCACCTGGCAAGCGTCAAGTTCAAGTTCAAGTGCAGTGTTGGAGCCAAACTGGCCCCTTTCTCTCAGGAGGGACCTGCCTCCCAAATGCTAAACCCAGCAGCACAGGACCGAGCAGGGTGGGGAGAGATAGGCGCAGGGACTTAGACAAGTATGTGGGTGAGGGGGGTGCTGGGTCACCAGTCCTCCTAAGAGTACCCTCATTGCAGGCCCATCCTTCCCTATGCCAAGTTCAACCCGTGGGTGCCCCCCTGGAAATTCTTCCTCCCTTCCCACCTCCGCTACTGCCCCCAAGCCAGGCCACCGCATCCCACCTGGCCCCTGACATCAGCCCCACAGGTCTCCCTACTTGTGTGCCTTTCTAGTCCGTCAGCTAAAAATAAACCCTATCGGACTCCCCAGGCAGACCCCCTGGTCCAGCCATCAGTCGCCGCATGCCCGCACTCTGCCCTGGCCCCCAAGCCCCTCTCCTGGGCTCCGGGACTGGACACACGCAATCCCCGCTGGGATGCGGTCACCTGGCTCGCCCAGCATCCTTCAGGGCTCCGCCGAGAGGCCACTTCCTCTGGGAGACCGTCCTTAGCCAGGTAGCGTCCTGCCCACCTCCTCCCTCACTCCCAACCCCAAGCAGGCACCGTTATCCTGTCCCACCCCTGCCGGCTGGACTGCAACCTCCCGCTGGGCTGGGAGCTTCCAGAACGTTCCCACAGGACTGTTCACCGCCGGATCCCACCTTCCACACAGCACAGCTGGCCTCAAACACCTGCGGGAGGGCCCGGCCTCCCCTCCCCAGCCCTGACTTTCTCCCTTTCGCCTTCCCAAGGCCAAGGTCAGTGCTGGCTTCGCTTCCGCCCACAGCCCGGCTCCAGGCCCCCAGCCTGACCTCCCTGTGTCCTCTAACCCCGTCCCACGCTCTTCTCCGAGCCCAGCTGCCGAGGCCAGTCTCATGGCTCCCCCTGCAGCCAGAGTCCCTCCTCCCCGCAGGCAGTCACACTGCTGGTCACCCCAGCAAAGAGTTCTCCGAGGGGGAAGAGGGGAGAGCCAGGCCCCGGGGCAGCCCTGCGGTGGGCACAGGTGAGCTGGCTGGCTCAGAGCCGGGGCGGACCGTGCAGAAGGCCTTGACATGACCCACTATGCCGGGCAGCTCTTCCTCCTCGCTCTCTTCTTCCTCCCGCCCAGCCCCAGGAAAAGCAGCTTCTTCTACCCTGCCCTGCCCAACCCCTCCGGCTGCCCACCCCCTGGGACCTGACCTCTAAGCAATTAGCCGGGAGCAGCCAGACCAGGGATTGGCAGACGTTTTCATTTTTATTCATTTCAGAGAGAAAGGGAGAGGGAGAGAGATAGAAACATCAATGACGAGAGAGAATCATTGATTGGCTGCCTCCTGCATGCCCCCTACTGGGGATTGAGCCCGCAACCCACCCAGGCATGTGCCCTTGACCGGAATCAAACCTGGGGCCTTTCAGTCCCCAGGCTGATGCTCTATCCACTGAGCCAAACCAGCTAGGGCTATGGAGGGCCAGACAGTTGAGATTTCAGCTCCGCGCCTAAGAGTGTCTTTGCCGGAGCCATGCAACTGTCCTCGCAGCAGGAAAGCAGCATCGGACTCCACGTGAACAAAGGGGTGACTGCGTCCCCATAAAACCTCATTTCCCACAATAAGCCGCCAGCTGGGCTCGGCCTGGGGGCCATAGCCGGCTGACCCCCTAAATTGTGGATAGAGCTCTTCCCACTCCCCCCAGGCCTCCGGGAGGCAGCATCCCGGTCAGCCGAGGAGCAGCCCTCCCACTTCCGCTGGAGAGGGTCAAGTCCGGAGAGGGAGGAGCCTGGTGTTCCCTGGGGAAAGTTCCAGTCTGACCCTTGAGCGGATTCCGGCCCCTGGAGCCCGGTCATTCCTGGTGGCGGGCGGTCCTGTGCTGGTAGGATGGTCAGCAACACCCCCAGGCCTCGACCCCATCAGATGCCAATAGCGTCGCCTCCCCAGCCGTGACAACCAGAACGTCCCCGGAAATGCCGGGGGGGCAGCCCCACCCCTGGCGTAAGAACTGCTGCCCGTTAGCAGGAACACGCAGGTGAAAATAAACAGGTGAACAAGCAGGTAGAGAGAGGGAGAGAGGGGGGAGGGGGCGGGAGGGACATAGAGAGTCAGGATGGCGGGCACAGGGACGGAACGGCCTGAGTCCCATGATGGCAGGAATCCCCAGACCCAGAAAGCATCTTGCAGCCTGTGGTTTCCGGTCTCCAGTGCTTGTTGGAGAGCAGAAGGGAAACCCGCAGGCCCTGTGGCCGCCCGCAGGGACTGGGTATCCCGGCCACGTGGCCACAGGACAGGGCTATGCAGCAGAGGGCGTGACGGGGCAGCAGGGAAACCCCTAGACCAGCCGCGGGACACCCAGGGCCCTGCAGGGCCCCACCCCCTGAGAAGGCGGAGACAGGTCTGGCTTCCCTGGGGGCAGGCACGGAGGCTCTGTGGCGTGAGCAAATCCAACCGTCTTCCACATCCAGCAGGAAAAGGACCCATGGCCCAGTGAGGGGCTGGGCTCTGCCACCTGGAGCTGCAGAGCAGACTGGACAGGCCGGGCTTGAGGGCTGGTGGGAACTCAGGGGGCTGTTCTAGGCCCCCGAGTGACAATTTCATCCTAAGCTTCTCACAGAAGGATTTGGGGGTGAGGAGATGAACGGGGGTTCAAATACACGCAGGTGGTCCGGGCCAGGCCTGGAGCCAGTTCAGGAGGCCTGGCACCCGCCCTCCCCCACAAGGGGACCTGCCAAGGGAGCCGGGGTTCTGGGAGGGGGTGTGGCTCAGCGCCGTGACTCAGCTCTGGGGAAGTGGCTGAAATGGGCCTCAGAGGCCACGCCCCAGAGCCGGTCCTGGGCAGGACACCCCCACCCCACCCCACCCCGGAAGCCACATCCCACTCTCCTGGCAGTGACCACGGCTCTCCGCCTCTCCCAGCCTCTGGTGGAACCAGATTCCTCTGCCCTCGGCCGCACTGACCACAGAACATTCCTTCAAGGCAGAAGCAGCTGAAGGCCAGGGCCCTGGTCAGTCCACTCAGTCCACACCCTGGGCTCCGCTCCAATCCCATCCGGGGAACAGAGACTCACCCCCCGGTCTTCCCATCTGCTTGATCCGCAGTCGGTAGGCACACAGCAGGCCAAGTCCCTGGCAGCCTGGCCCGCACAGGATAGTCCTGGGCAGCCAAGCAGGCCTCCTACTCTGCAGCTGACCCACAGCTGACCCGCAGCTCACCCCGGAACACACAGTACACACTCTGACACCACTGCCAGCCCAGCCCCCTCCACCCAATATCCGCATCAGGCAGCCTGGCTGGACAGAAGGGGCCTCGGGCACGGCGTCATTCCTGGCTGGAATGACCGCAAGAGGCTTCATTCTTTACTCTCTCTCTTTTTTTAATAAGATGTTTGTATTGATTTCAAGAGGGAGGAAGCAAAACATCAATCAGCCGCCTCCTGCACGCCCCCTCCTGGGGATGGAGCTCACAAGCCTCCCATGTGCCCTGATGGGGAATCGAACCGTGACCTCCAGGTTCAGAGGTCGAGCCACACTGGCTGGGCCATTGGTTACTCTTTCTCTGTCTCTGCCTCGCTCTTTCCCGCTCCCTCTCTCATTTACTGCACACCCATCTATTTTCCCACACTGCTCTGGGCCCTGGAGACACAGCAGTGAAAAGAGGGTTGGCCATATCCCTGCCTTCCCTGAACAGTGTGTATGTGGGGGGAAGGAGGGGGTAGGGAGCCAGGCTGTAAACAGGCAAACAGAATGGCACCTCGCAGTCCTCACTGTCCAGACGGAAACAAGGTGATGGAGGGTGGGTGATGAAGAGGCACCTGTGAGCTGAGAACTGAAGGATGAGGAGGACCCGA